TTTGAAAATTCGTGAAAAATTATTGATGCTTTGTAGGGATTTATTGATGCTTTTTAGGGATTTTTTGAAGCTTAAGGATGATAGAGTTGACCCTTAAGCTCATTCGAGAATATTTTCTCTAGTCAAGTTGATTCTGGTGGGAGAGTCGCTACGGCGGGATGTCGATAATTTTTTTGTAAATTCTCAGAAAATTAAATATAATAGACCTATCTCGCATGATCAGGAAAAGAGAGCTTGATAATTATTGTAATAAATACAAATTAGAAATTAATAAAACATGACATGCGCGCGCAACTGGGGGCTGCAGTGTAGCCAGACTCAATTGTTGCAGAACAAATGTAGACAATACAAATCGAACAATATAACATTAAAGAAGTGATATAGTGTCAAGTGTTTTACAACGCCTTAAATCAGACAAAAGAAGAGCTTTAAAGTGGATGAACATCGTTTGCACTTCTATTTTGATAAATGTTTCATCCGGCAGCATCGCTCAATGAAGTTGCAAAAACGACCCTGCGGTGACTTCAAGTAATATGTAAAGTATTAGTTTGCTCTTTGTGGAATTAGACGTTACAAAGAAAGAAGGAACGATTCATTCTGAACTATTCCCTGAATAAGAATATGACGCCAGCCTGTAACAAACTTGTTTCTCATTGGACGCTCACCTGCAGCCTACAAGCGACGCGCGCAGTCCAGGTAATAGGAAATCGGACTATTTAAGGGATTTGTTGTTTAGAAAGAATAAAAACTATTTTTGTAAAACTGCACTTTTCACAGTGTTTACACGCTTCGAGATTTTGTAAAAAATGTCTTCACAATTTTTTTATTTTATTTCTTTGAAAAATCTGAAAAAAATTCTAGCTTCGATGAAAGAAGAAAAGGGCTGCAAACTAAAATAATCCCAAATCGGTTCATTTGTTCAGGATTGGCAAAGATTCAAGGTTGCACCTAAAGTTAGGTCAGTCACATTCCATGACACTGAAAACCAATATCCAAAAAACATATTTATGCGTGAAGCTGAGAATTCTAGGAATTTGGAGGGATAGATTTATGAAGTTTATGAAATATCGATCAGGCACTTCAACTGATGGGCAAACAGAAAAAAATATCAGAGAGGGGAAAAACTTATGCGATAAGCGACCTTTTTAGTCCCCGTAGTGACTTTCCCAGACCTAACTTGACTAAAGAAAGTATTCTCGGGTGCGATTAAAGGTCAATTCTTTCTTTCTGAAATGACAAAAAATCCCTACAAAGCATTATTAATTTTTCAAGAATTTTTAAACAAATTATCGACTTCCCCCCGTAGTGACTCTCCCACACCTAACTTTACTGAAAAAACTATTCTTGGCCGTGTTTTAGGGTCAACTCTATCATCCTCAAACTTCAAAAAATCCCTACAAAGCATCATTAATTTTACCCGAATTTTCCAACAAATTATCGACTTCCCCCTGTAATGACTCTCTAGTGAAGTTAGGTCTGGGAAATTCATTACTCTACCGTGTTCCTATATAATCTGTAACTCCTATTTATCATTATTAATGCTAAGTACTCTTGAATAATACATAAATCTGTGTTTTTGTCCCTAATACTTATGTTGTAGTTTTATTTAATGTCTTTATCCATAATAAGAAACGCTTCAGCGTAATTTTGTCTTAAACAGGCTATCACTTGAAGGCGTTTGCCATGAATTTTTAGCACACCAATCTGACTGTTTAAGACTACAAAATTTTCTGAATGTACTCGTAAGGGTAGTTTTACGTCATATATTTCGTCTAGGTCGTCTGCCCTGGACGAGCTACCACTGGAAGGCGTCTGCCCTAGACGGGCTACCACTGGAAGACGTCTGCCGCGTGTTTTTAGGTTTCTATGCCCAAAAAATTTCATTTGTGTACTCGTAAGGGGGTTTTTGATCAAAATTCCCTTATTTGAGGGGCGGTCACGGGAGCGGGCTACCACCCATCGCTGGCAGACGGGCGGTTTTTGGTTACGAATGATAAAGTGTTTCGAGTATCTATAATGAAAATTTTGTGCCCGATGCGGGGGGTGATTTGACGCTGGGCCACCGGTCTATTATACATATATACCTTATTATTTAGATTTTTGTAAACTTTAAAAAATCATAACTTTTTTTTCTATTAGAGATAAAAAGCTGAAATTTTCAGCGATTCTTATCCTAGTAGAGGACTACAATCCATAAAAAATTTCAGCTCATTTGCACTTATAGTTCCTCAGATAAAATCGTGTTAAGCAATTTGAGGTGATTTATCTATCAATTTTTCAATTTTTCTGAGTGCCCTTTTTCATTTATCAAAGGACCTTGATAATTTCAGTTCATTTGCACTTATAGTTCCTGAGATAAAATCGTGTTAAGCAATTTGGGGTGATTTATCAATTTTTCAATTTTTCTGAGTGCCTTTTTTCATAGATTTTGGCTCCAAATATGAGAATAATTTAGTGTATGGAGTTTGGGGTATGTAGATTGACCATTAGGATACAAAATCTCGACAAAAAAAAATTTGAAATTTCATCGTTTTAGTAAGAAGGTACCTACTTTATGATTTAGATTTTGGAAAACTTTGAAAGGTCATAACTTTTTTTCTATTATAGATAGAAAGCTGAAACTTTCACTGAATTTTATGCATTTCAAAGGACTACAATCCCTGAAAATTTCAGCTCATTTGCACTTATAGTTCCCGAGATAAAATCGTGTTAAGCAATTTGGGGTGATTTATCAATTTTTCAATTTTTCTGAGTGCCTTTTTTCATAGATTTTGGCTCCAAATATGAGAATAATTTAGTTTATGGAGTTTGGGGAGTTCCGAATAATTATTTAGATTTAAAATCTCAACATAAAAAAATTGAAATTTTATCATTTTAGTACTAAGGTTATATGAAAATTGACTTTTTTAGAAAATTTCAAAATGTCTCTTTTTAGACCCATACAAGACCTTGATTACCCAATTCCTAATTCTCAATAGAACGCCAAACTTGAAAAATTCAACTTTTTAAGTACACACATCAAAATAGCCTAGGGAACAAGGTAACACCTATACTTATCAGAAATTTTTTGCTGATTTTATTTATAATATACTGTCGCGGCTTTGGGTTGCCTGCTGACAAAAATCTTGGGTTCGTTGTTCGTTTCGTTTATTCCAAAAATCAAAGTCCAATTAACACAGCAATAATTTATTCCACTTAACAAAACACTCTGACACTAATTACTTTATTAACAAACTCAACAATTAAACTCTTTACAATCACTATTTAAATCGTATCACAGTCGAACTGAAGACTTAACTTACAAATCAATGCCGGCCTTCTTATATATCTCTAATTCTATTCCTGTAAAATCTAGAATACACACGATAATCTAATTTTCCAGATAAAAGTAGAATAATTCGCTAGATTCTAGTATTTTTACCATCGATTCTTGACAGCCTGGCGGACGATATTGTAACAATACCTTTAAACTAAACAAGCTTGCAAAAAAAGCGGATATGGTAAATTTGATAAGATTTGTATAATAAATAATACTTAGATTATCTTTAAAATAAAAGTCGTTTTGTCTTAAAATTAAAAGACATATTTCTTGTTCCCTAGACTATTTTGATGAGTGTATTAGGGAATTGGGCCTCAGCTTTAAAATCAATTTAGCTAATTCGTTTTAAACTATCGATAAAGTGCTATTTCATATGGAATGCGCATTATCTTGCAATATTTATCTCGAGGACATTTATCTGTTTTCCAATCAAATAGGAAATTGTTTTTATCAAATCAAAATGTAGGAAAACATAAAATAGAAATTATATTTTTGATCCTTTTCGAGAGTCATTGGAAAATCCTCGCACACATTATTTACCAATTCGGCATATCTGTAATGGATTACATATTTTATTTCCGAAACCAATTTGTCCTTCACTTCTGACGACCTAGTCATATCAATTTTTTTTTATAGATAACGTTGATTATTGGAATAGGTATGTTGTATTTCATCAGAGATTAACTGGGTAGCTTAATGCGTCATATTGTAAACAATTTACTGAGACTTTTACCTTATAACAACTATTGAAGTTGTTCCTAAGCCCATTTCATTAGAAACTTCTGTTTTATGCTACAAGTTAAAAATACATCAATAATTAACCCATTAGTTAGTACATATTTAAATACCACCATCAAATGTCCAACATACAACTCTCATTATCAAGACAATACCATTTAACAAGCCATTTAAATTAAATTACAATTTTTTATAAAAGCCTAATGGGATTTGATGAAAAAGGTATTTAGCCCAAAAACCTGGTATTTATTTCGCATTATTCACGCATTTTACTTTCACTTTAATTCACGAGACTTGCTAAGAAAGTCGCTGAACATAATTTCAGAAACCGCTAGAAAAACTTTTTTGTTGTTGAAGAATTGACATTACTTACGGATGAGTGAGTTTTTTGAATGGAATTTTAAATTATAGTTAATTTTGAAGAAATAGCAAAAGAAAATCCAATAATAGGGATGAAGCTACACCAGCTAAAATACAAGTCTTTAAACACCCAGGAAAAAAAAAACATGCTTCAGTGATTTTGAAACAGTAATCAGCTCGCTAATAAAGTACAGCTGACGATAAGTACCGTACAGTGTTTATGTCAATGATTTTCAACTAAATAAATATCTTCACAAGCTTGACATTGCAAGAATTAATTTGGCCTAAATGTTATGATCTAATTTAATTTAAGGTAAACTCAAATTATATATACTTTTTTTAAAAGAGAAAGTGATTTTGTAACAAAGAAGCGTATTTTCCCATCAGTTCACAAAGCATCAGTCAAAACACAATTGTTTTATTTGTTTATTAATAAATAACAATTAGCCTATCGAAACCACGTAATCGACCTTTCAAGGACGAGAATGTAATTAGTATTCCTTGTATAAACCAATACAATATGTTTCCTAGTTAGTAAATAAAAGGTCGATGAACGTCCACTGAATTTAAGTTTCTGTTCCAGGAACGTTTATGGATCGACCACCATTCACCACACCACCACCCTCACCCCCGTACAGATCTAGTTTATCCAATGTCACCCGAAAATGGTTTTGGCAAAGATCCACCATCGGATTCGCCAGCTTCGTCCGATTCGGAAGACTTACATTATGGTCCTGGAATCGTCAATCGGTTGCGTAACAAATATTTAAGTTTAGCTTTGAGAGAAAGCAATAATCGACCGACTATATTGAGGAAAGCTACCAGCTTGGAAAATTTGTTGGACGATGATGGCGGCGAGGAAACGGAAAAAGAAGATATTAGGTTGTTTGCTAGGAGAAATGGTGGACAAGATGGAGGTAATCTTGGAAAATTTGTATTGGAAAGCAATAGAAATTTTTTTGTTGCAGCAAACAGATACAGATCGTCAAGTAGAAGGCAAGATATGAAAAGAGCACGATCTGTTGAGGTAATTTCGCGAACCAATCATGAAGAAGAACTAACGATGACTTCATCAGTCACTGCCAAAATTAACAATCGACAGTCTCTTCATGAAGATATGCTCACTAATATAAACGAAAATAAGGGAGTTTTAATAGAGAATACAAAGTAAGCTGAGTGTCTACTATGTCTAGTTTTTTTTTTACAGGAGAATTGTTTCAGATCTTACAAAAAACCAGTTTCCATTGAAAACGGAACAGAAGACTCAAGCGAAAAATATAGTAGAAAAATCAACAGACCTAAAAGAATATCTCCTTTGCTGAACGAAAGGGAGAAACCTCCTGTGGATGTAGTGAAACATGCCAAATTGATTTTTGAAAAGAGGCCAGAGACTCGAACCAAGAAACCTGTTCAGACTGGTAAGTGATGTAAATGTAGTCAACTGCCAAATTGTCTTAACATTTCTTCAAATGTCTCACTGATGAATTCCTTATATAATTGATTATAATTATGTTGCTATTTTTGAATTTATATGAAATTATCAATAACTGGTAAGTATGTAATCGTGATAATTTGTATTGTTGTTCTTTCAGGAGAAGTCTCAGCTAAGATAAACAGTTTTAACTGCATGATAGTTAAAACGAAATTAGCTGCTACAAAACCGTCTGCATGGAAACGTACTCCTAAACCGGTACCAAACGGTAAAATTAGATGTCACTCTCAACATGCGTGTTCAAATATTAACGATTAATGCATTTTACTAACTATCATTTTTTTTTGTCCGAAATAATATTAATAATTGTGTGGGATGTTTGGGCTACAGTTAGTTAACTTCCCAAACATCCACATTGTCTAGTCTAGCAGCTTCTATTGATAACAGCAAAGTAACATTATAGCCAATGGTGCACCTAGTATTGTGCGTATAATAGGTGTGGATTTTTTTTGTCTCCATATAATGCTAGAAATCACAATATTGAAAAGTTTTTTTATCAAAAATTTTATCAACCATAATGTTCTTTTTAGGAGAAGTTGCCGCCAAAGTCGATAGCTTCAACGACATTATCGTCAAAACTAAAGTGGCCTTAAAATCCACTAAGCCCGCCATTAAAACCCAAAAACCAGTACTTCATGATAAACCGAAAAGTAATACTCATCATCATGCAAAGCCAGTTGCGAAGCCTGTGATTATTAGCGAAGAACTTGTAAAACCTAAAACCCTGGAACTGAAATCTTCCAAACAAAAAGGATTCAATAGTTTGCCTAGTCCTATTCCCGATGTTAGGTAATAACCTCCTCATTTCATAATTATTAATAACTAAATTTTTATAAAAATGTTTCACAGAGTTGACATAAAACATCAAGATGGTACGAATCCAAGAAACAACTTGTTGAATTACCTAAGTGAAACTCCAGATTTAATTTTAACATCAAGCCCTTTACCAAAAATAACTTCTCCGACTTATAGAAAAAAGTCTACACAGACTTTTATTGAAGAGGAACGGAATCGGTCTTTAGAACACCCAGAAGCCACAAATAAGTTTATAAGCCCAGTTCACAGTCCCACAAAAATATTCAACCAAAAGCAAAGCTCATTGAATTTTAATCGAGAAGACGAATTGGATTGTTTAGGCATGAAAATGATCTCTCCAATATCACAAAAGAACATTACGAAAAATTCAGCATCTTCAGTTTTTAACTTTTTAAATGCTTCTATCGATCAAAAGCATTTGCCTTTAACCAAGAAAAATGGTGTGGAGCAAAAAAGTCTAATTGAGTCTGAATTGAATGGTTTTGGCAATTCAAATAAAATCAAAGTTATCTTGAGTCCTATTGAAGCAGAGAAAAACCTTAGAAATTCAGTGAAATTTTCAGAAGAACCTGTTATTGTTGTCACAGAAGTAGATGTCCAAAAATTGAGCCCGGATGTAGCTACCAAAAATTTAAATGCAAACAAAAGTTGGCAAAATCTTGGTAATATTGTTGAAAAGCAAAGTAGCATCTTTGAAAATCTTAGTAAAAACGAACATTTTACAAAAACCAAAACCGTTAGTAGTGATTCGGAACCAACGCGACAAGATTTAATTAGTGTAGAACCCAGTGAAGAAGTTATTTTGGAATCGGACAAGTTAGATAAAATCGAAATAATAATTGATCCAAAAAAAAGTGCAAGTGACAGTAATAAAAGTAGTATAGTGGACCCAGTAAGTGAAGACAAATCCAAAGTAGTGTTGCCGAAGAAAACGAAGTCCAGACAAGAAGAATCTGCGGTGGCAGTGTTCAATTTTACATCAAGGAAAGACGTTCCTGATTATATTTCTAATGATACAAGTCGGGCGCCTATGAGACCTGTTATTCCTAAGGTGAGTGATATGTATATTATGCTAATGCCTAGATCATCAATCATGCTAAGGTACTTATCAGTGGTATTAATATTGGTTTTTATCATCATCTTATGCTTTTAAAGTTTTCTCTTTTCTAATACACATAAATGCAACAGCTAATGTTAAATAAGTAATTTCCTATTACCTTAGTGTTTGGAAATTTAATTGATTTCTCGTGTCTTGTGTAATTTGGAATAATCACCATAGCTTATTTATATGTATATCAAAGATTCCTTAGAGATTAAAATTTATAAAACCTTTCAAATAAGTACCTTGATTTTAAGACTTCAAATATTCCATACTACCAAGCCCCAATCTATAAAATTGTTTACCTACTTTCATTGGCTTAAGGCAGATAAATAAATCACTATTTTATTGAAACAATAAGTTCTTACTTTTCAGCTAGCGGCACATAGTTTTAACTACAAATTAGATTAAAAGTGTCTGCTTTAATAAGATATAAAGATAATGTATTATTTCAAACATTAGATATATTAAAAAGCCTTGTAAGGACTCAAAAACAAAATAGCTCATAAAATAACAAAATGAAATTAGTTACCTACATTTAGTGAAACACAACTGTAATATTTTTGCATATATACTTATTATCCACACCTTAAGGCCACCTGTTGTGAAATGCTAATAATAAGCACTTGTGCAAAAATCTACTTTTCCTGTCTTGAAGCCATTGATGCCCTCATATCCAGAATAATCCATTCTATTATGCTACTATGTATATTACTCTCAAAAATCAATAACAATTTAAAGTGTCCAAATCAATAAAGGAATCTGATAAATCTCTCTGCAAATATTTTCTTTCAACTTTCCTCATGAAAGTGTGCCTAAAGCCAATCACAGTCTCAAACAAATCATTTATTTATGTTTATTTATGGTATGGTTGTTTTGTTTCTGATTTCTTCTTGATGTTTTTCACCGCCATTCAATTACAGTTTTATGATTTTTCATAGTTGATATTTCAGGGTTGGATTTCGTTTTGGTGTCCCACCGGGGTCAAATGTCTTTTTACATTATCTGTTTTGCTAGAGATAAAAATCCATTTTACTATGCTATTGGAAAGTTTTCCTCAATTAGTAAATTACCTATTAATAATTTATTCGTAAGCGTTTGACCTAGAAAGAAATCAAAACATAATTCGATATGGTTGGAGTTGATTATTTCGAGTATAATTTACAAGGCATTTAATTCTCACAAAAAAAAAACATATTACTTGCTTGCGAAGTAGTTTATCAATTTCCTGCCATCATATTTCCACTGCCCAAGCCAAATTAGATGAACGTAACAATAAACCGTTTTTCCTGAATGAATGGAACTCTTACGTTAGCAACATTCCATTTGCAACACCATCATAACACGGTGATTCTTGAAAAAAAAGCAATGCTTGCAGGTGCTTCACCAGAACAATAATGTTATTGTTTATTATTTTCTATTGTTTCAATTAGTGCAATTTTGAGAATATATCGAACCTTGAACCAATTCATTAAGTAAACAGTCCAAGTAACTAAATTGCTTTTCTATTTTCGAAAAATCTATACCTACTTATTTTATAGCTTTGTAATTATTCGTTTGAATTGATTTGAATTTTTAGTATGTTTTGCCCCTATGCCTCAAAAATATTCCCTCAAAATCTCCATATTTATTTCTCAAGTAGTTTTTGAGTAAATAGTCAAAATGTGGAAGGATGTCATCGAGGAGGGTGCATTTTTGCTTAATTTAGATTTTGCAAGTTGATTTTCATCAATTTTTCATTCTAATATTTTTCACTAAAAAAATTTGAAATTTTAGTATGATGAGCTTCTAACTTTCCTCTTTTTCTCCAGAAAGTTTCATAATTTTTCCTTCAGTAGTTTTCCAGAAAAATATTGAAATGTAAGTGGGTGCATTTTTGCTTAAATTCGATTTTGTGAGTTGATTTTCATTAATTTCTCATTCTGGTATTTTTCATTGGAAAAATTTTAATACGATGAGCTCCTACCTTTTCTCTTTTTTTCCAGAAAGTTTCATAATTTTTTTTACAGTAGTTTTTTAGAAAAATAATAAAATGCAAGATGGTGCATTTTTGCTTAATTTAGATTTTGCAAGTTGATTTCCATTAATGTCCCCTTTTTGTAATTTTTTACTGGAAAAGTTTGAAATTTTAGTATGATGAACTCCGAACTTTCCTCTTTTTCTCCAGAAAGTTTCATAATTTTCCCTTCAATAGTTTTCCAGGAAAATAATAAAATGTAAGAGGGAGCATTTTTGTTCAATTTAGATTTTGCAAGTTGATTTTCATTAATTTCTCATTGTGGTATTTTTCACTGGAAAAATTTGGAATTCTAATATGATGAGCTCCCAATTTTCCTCTTTTTCTCCAGAAAGTTTCATAATTTTCCCTTCAGTAGTTTTCCAGAAAAAAATTAAAATGTAAAAAGGTGCATTTTTGCTCAATTTAGATTTTGCAAGTTAATTTTCATTAATTTCTCATTCTGATATTTTTCACTGGAAAAATTTGAAATTTTAGTACGATGAGCTCCTGACTTTTCTCTTTTTCTCCAGAAAGTTTCATAATTTTCCCTTCAGTAGTTTTCCAGAAAAATAATAAAATGTAAGATGGTGCATTTTTGCTCAATTTAGATTTTGCAAGTTGATTTTCATTAATTTTTCATTCTGGCATTTTGCACTGGAAAAATTTGAAATTTTAGTAGGATGAGCTCCTAACTTTCCTCTTTTTCTCCAGAAAGTTTCATAATTTTCCCTTCAGTAGTTTTCTAGGAAAAAATTAAAATGTAATGCAGGTTTTCCACCAAACCGACAAAACAAAAACACAACTTAAACTCAGACAAAACTCCAACTTTTCCCAAACATTTTCAAGATTAGCGTGTTTTGCGATAGGTAGAATTTTGTTTTTCGGGTTTTAAAACATGTTTTAAAACAAAAACTCAACAGTCCGTTTGGTGGAAAACCGGCATAAGAGGGTGCATTTTTGCTCAATTTAGATTTTGCAAGTTGATTTTCATTAATTTCTCATTCTGGTATTTTTCACTAAAAAAATTTAAAATTTTAGTATAATGAGCTCCCAACTTTTTTCTTTTTTTTCCAGAAAATTTCATAATTTTCTTTCCAGTAGTTTTCCGGAAAAAAATTAAAACCTAAGAGTAGGGTGCATTTTTGGTAAATTTAGATTTTGCAAGTTGATTTTCATTAATTTTTCATTCTGGCATTTTTCATTGGAAAAATTTGAAATTTTAATATGATGAACTCTTTTTCTCCAGAAAGTTTCATAATTTTCCCCACAATAGTTTTCCAGAAAAAAATTGAAATGTAAGAAGGTGTATTTTTGCTCAATTTAGATTTTCATTAATTTCTCATTCTGGTATTTTTCACTAAAAAAATTTAAAATTTTAGTATAATGAGCTCCCAACTTTCCTCTTTTCCTCCAGAAAATTTCATAATTTTCTTTTCAGTAGTTTTCCGGAAAAAAATTTAAACCTAAGAGTAGGGTGCATTTTTGGTCAATTTAAATTCTGCAAGTTGATTTTCATTTTAGTATTGTGAGCTCCTAACGTTCCTCTTTTTCTCCAGAAAGTTTCCTTATTTTCCCTTCATTAATTTTCCAGAAAAATATTAAAATCTTCTAAGAGGGTGCCTCGGATGTCATATTCACCCTTATAGGAAAAAATGTTCATTTTTAAAAATCTTATATCTTTGTAATTTTTTGTTCAATTGACTTGCATTTTTGATATGTTTTACCTCGAAGATTCAAAAATATTCTCTCAAAATCTCATATTTTCTTCTCAACTAGTTTTTAAGTAGGTAAATGGCCAAAATGTGGAAGCATGTCATATTTAGCCTCGTAGGAAAAACCGAAAGGCGGTTCACTCATCACAATTTGTACATCGATTTCGGAAATCGCAGGGGATTTCGACAATTTTTAAGGGATATCGGATATTCGACTTTCAACGCTGTACCAGTAAGGATTTCGATAAATCTATAGGCATTTCAACAAATCTATTGGGATTTTGGGATTTCAGAAGAAGGATTTCGGTTGGGATTTTGGATAGGATTTCGCGATTTCGAATCGATTTCGGGATTTCCAAAGGATTTTGAAATAATTTCATGGGATTTTGGATGAAAATGTACAGCAATTTCGGAAGTGAGCCGCCAGGATAATTCCTAGGTATTTGACTTCCCGGACGAATTGTATTTGCTTTCCGAAGAAAGTGGGGGGGACTAGATCGTCCAGTTTTCTTCTTTTCGTGAAGGTGAATATAGTTGTTTTGTCAGGGTTGACGCTCCTTTGACCAGTCTTTACAATTTTAAGCGCTGTTTGCATTTTCGCAGAAGTAGTTTGTAAATTTTTCCCCATGACTACATCATCTGAGTAACACTGGGTATAAATAGCTTTGTTATCCAGGTCTACTAGGAGTTCGTTTACGACCAGGGTGTCTATTCTCGAAACCGGGGAACAGCGTTCTCACGAAAACGATTGCTCTTTCTCTATCAGTGTTATGGAAATATTAATATAAGTGACTAAGACAGAACTTTCGTTATCATGAGAATGCTGCTCCCCTGTTTCGAGAATAGGGGCACAGGTCCCACAGTAGGGGGGATAGGTATCAAAACCTTGCACCTGCCATATTTAGTTCCAGGTAACAGCCGCTTGGTCTCTAAAACAGGGATTGATTAGTTTTAAGGCATGTACTTCAGTTTTAACAAATATGCCAGCTCTGAAGTCATTGGAGTTATGTTCATAAATAAGCTTACCTCTTATCAAATGTTACTTAATTTTATTCAAAAAGCCTACATATATTTGGAACCCAGGAATTGAGACAAACAATAAAATTGCCATATACATAGAGTAGGTATTTAAAGTAAAAAATATATGTAATTTGAAACTTACCACTTAAATTTAATGATACCTACGACATAAACAGGCTAGAAATTATGAGAACATTTTATCCCTGATAAAAACCCATTGTCAATTATTGTATTACTAACTGCCCAAATTACCCAGTCACTTCAACACTTGAATTAGTATTATTTAATTGTATGATGTAGAAAACTAGTCATTAAAACAGTTTAGTGAGGAAGAACAAATAACCATTTTATTTATACGATAAGACATATCTTTCAATTAGCAAAATATTAATATCTCTGAAATTTCATTATTCTACTATGCCAAACTGGATGGACAAACATGCAAGTGCCGGGAATTGACAAAAATTGAGAACTAAAGAAAAACATTTCAATTACTTCCTCTTTATGCATGAAATCCCAAATGATCTTCATTCTATTCTCAGACTCCACCTACCAAGAATATAATTCTTACTTCAAACATCATAAATTCCTAGTAGAATGACATTCGATTATAAACAGGTGTCATTACGCGTTCATTACAGAAAAAAGGAACGCGTTATAACGGTAATACAATACGGCATCTTGAGTCAATTAACTGAGTTAATAGTAAAAAACCAGGCATCACATACCCAACCAATTCTGTTAAGGGCAGGTATTATAAAACTATTTTAACTAAAAGTTACCATCTGGGAATCATGTTACTTCTCATAGTAATTCCAGAAGTTAACTTTTAGTGTATAAACTTTTATCAATCTAAACTTTTTTTTTCCTAGCCCGATGAACCAGGCATCAAACTCCTACCCGAAGCGCTTCTAACCAACTTCAAAGAAATCCAAGAAGTATGGGAAGAAGACGAACTGATCAAAACCCTAGAGGCGCGACCTCCAAGTCCTTGTGATGTCACTTTCATCAACGACAATGTGCTCATAGAAGGAAAATCTAGTCTTACCCAGTCTACCTCTAAACGAATGAAGGTAAGTGAGATTTTTTTTTTATACAGGGAATGTGAAACTGCATTATTTGCAATGCCATCCTGGCCCGATACGAATCGCCAACAATACGCATGTGTCTATACCCAGAACCAGAAAGTAGACCGAACCAATAATTAAATCGGATATATCAGATGTACATATCATGATCGGAATGCAATAAAAACATACATTTATTTGTAATAGGCGAAATTGCATTCCAATTTAACCTAAATTTCTAGGCAAGGTATAATTGAATATTGATGAGCAAAATTATTTGTAACTTATCAGTGTTTTTTTACTTTAAATACAAATTGTACATGAGTCACTAAAACGTGTTGCAAAAATAAATATTTAATGCAGTGAGTAATAAGGGTACACTAACCTGGTGTTTTGGTAATTCTATACCTATAATTATTAGGGTCGTGAAAGTTTTAGGACATGCAATGCAAATAAGTACATGTTTCATAAAGTAATACTTTTCTGAACAAAAAGAATAATTATTATATAAATATTTTAATAGTTATGTGGACAAGTAATTGCACTGTGTGCAAGGGTAATATTATGCAAATAAACGGACAAAGAAATTATTATCAACATACTGGTTTACTAAAGAAAATTCCACGAATAATTGCACGTCATTGATATGTGTTGGAATGTTGGGGGGTTTCTAAGTAATCCGAATATTCTTTAGGCCATGAAATTTGTACTATATTTCAGTGAAGGTAGATTTGTTCCTTGAAGATATGTATTTACTTCAGTTTTTACAATGATCTGTCAGTGAGGTATTTTTACTGCACTATTTGTACAATAGGGTATGGGATCAGGACAAAAAGAGTATCAAGAATTGTAAAAAGTTAATAATAAGTGAATCCAAGGGCGGTTTAAAGGGGGGGTAGAGGGGGTAATTACCCCTACCAGACAATTTTTTTTTTAAATATATTTATTAATTACAAAATAAAGCATTTGATGGCATTGTATAAATTGATAGGCTCACCAGTACCAAAGTTTGCCATAGTACCGACGTACCTACTATACAGTGAAATAAAAAAATCAGTTATGGTTGTTTGAAATGTCTGGTTTTGTGATCAGATTTTCATAGGACTCTATGAAGTAAATGTAGATATGCACTGACAACCTGCAAAAGATTTAGCTTAAGCATCTCAAATGAATGAAATGATGGTTTTTGTTGACACATGCAATTTTTTGGAAAAATATTAAATAAGTTTTTCAAAAATGGTTGAGTTTTAGTATAGGTAACTCCTAACAAAATGTATGTAGGATTTTTAGAACGATTCATTATTGTACTAAAATATAGGATGTTCCATTTTAAATAACAAAGTTCTGTCGCATACCCCATTTACGGAGTACCCTGCATATTCAAAAATATTTTTAACTAATGCACCTTACGGTTTTACTTTACAGAACATCATTATTTTAAAAAAATCACAACTCCATTAATAATAACTCAATCGCTTTTGAGTTTTTAGTATTTTTTACATTGAACCTTTAGGAAAAAGTCCTCAAAATTTCAACTTTCCACTCACTTTAGTTTTTGAGTGAAAAAATTGTATGTAAAGTCTTACTTTACAAAACATCATTATTTTAAAAAAATTATAACTCCATTAATAATAACTCAATGGCTTTGAGTTTTTAGTATTTTTTACATTGAACCTTTAGGAAAAAGTCCTCAAAATTTCAACTTTCCACTCACTTTAATCTTTGAGTGAAAAAATTGTGTGTAAAGTCTTACTTTACAAAACATCATTATTTTTAAAAAATCATAACTCCATTAATAATAACTCAATGGCTTTGAGTTTTTAGTATTTTTTACATTGAACCTTTAGGAAAAAGTCCTCAAAATTTCAACTTTCTACCCACTTTAATTTTTGAGTGAAAAAATTGTTTGTAAAATCTTACTTTCCAAAACATCATTATTTGAAAAAAATCATAACTCCATTAATAATAACTCAATGGCTTTGAGTTTTCAGTATTTTTTACATTGAACCTTTAGGAAAAAGTCCTCAAAATTTCAACTTTCTACTCACTTTAATTTTTGAGTGAAAAAATTGTTTGTAAAGTCTTACTTTACAAAACATCATTATTTAAAAAAAATCATAACTCCATTAATAATAACTCAATGGCTTTGAGTTTTCAGTATTTTTTACATTGAACCTTTAGGAAAAAGTCCTCAAAATTTCAACTTTCTACTCACTTTAATTTTTGAGTGAAAAAATTGTTTGTAAAGTCTTACTTTACAAAACATCATTATTTTAAAAATATCATAACTCCATTATTAATAATTCAATGGTTTTGAGTTTTCAGTATTTTTTACACTGAACCTTTAGGAAAAAGTCCTCAAAATTTCAACTTTCCACTCACTTTAGTTTTTGAGTGAAAAAATTTTTTGTAAAGTCTTACTTTACAAAACATCATTATTTAAAAAAAATCATAACTCCATTAATAATAACTCAATTGCTTTAAGTTTTTAGTATTTTTTACATTGAACCTTTAGGAAAAAGTCCTCAAAATTTCAACTTTCTACTCACTTTAATTTTTGAGTGAAAAAATTGTTTGTAAAATCTTACTTTCCAAAACATCATTATTTGAAAAAAATCATAACTCCATTAATAATAACTCAATGGCTTTGAGTTTTCAGTATTTTTTACATTGAACCTTTAGGAAAAAGTCCTCAAAATTTCAACTTTCTACTCACTTTAATTTTTGAGTGAAAAAATTGTTTGTAAAGTCTTACTTTCCAAAACATCATTATTTGAAAAAAATCATAACTCCATTAATAATAACTCAATGGCTTTGAGTTTTCAGTATTTTTTACATTGAACCTTTAGGAAAAAGTCCTCAAAATTTCAACTTTCTACTCACTTTAATTTTTGAGTGAAAAAATTGTTTGTAAAGTCTTACTTTACAAAACATCATTATTTTAAAAATATCATAACTCCATTATTAATAATTCAATGGTTTTGAGTTTTCAGTATTTTTTACACTGAACCTTTAGGAAAAGTCCTCAAAATTTCAACTTTCCACTCACTTTAGTTTTTGAGTGAAAAAATTTTTTGTAAAGTCTTACTTTACAAAACATCATTATTTAAAAAAAATCATAACTCCATTAATAATAACTCAATTGCTTTAAGTTTTTAGTATTTTTTACATTGAACCTTTAGGAAAAAGTCCTCAAAATTTCAACTTTCTACTCACTTTAATTTTTGAGTGAAAAAATTGTTTGTAAAATCTTACTTTCCAAAACATCATTATTTGAAAAAAATCATAACTCCATTAATAATAACTCAATGGCTTTGAGTTTTCAGTATTTTTTACATTGAACCTTTAGGAAAAAGTCCTCAAAATTTCAACTTTCTACTCACTTTAATTTTTGAGTGAAAAAATTGTTTGTAAAGTCTTACTTTACAAAACATCATTATTTAAAAAAAATCATAACTCCATTAATAATAACTCAATGGCTTTGAGTTTTTGTTATTTTTTGCATTAAGTCTTTAGGAAAAAGTCCTCAAAATTTCAACTTTCCACGTACTTTAATCTTTGAGTGAGAAAATTGTGTGTAAAGTCTTACTTTACAAATCATCATTATTTAAAAAAAAATCATAACTCCACTAATAATAACTCAATGGCTTTGAAATTTTAGTATTTTTTACATTGAACCTTTAGGAAAAAGTCCTCAAAATTTCAACTTTCCACTCACTTTAATCTTTGAGTGAAAAAATTGTGTGTAAAGTCTTACTTTACAAAACATCATTATTTTTAAAAAATCATAACTCCATTAATAATAACTCAATGGCTTCGAGCTGTCAGTATTTTTTACATTGAACCTTTAGGAAAAAGTCCTCAAAATTTCAACTTTCTACTCACTTTAATTTTTGAGTGAAAAAATTGTTTGTAAAATCTTACTTTACAAAACATCATTATTTGAAAAAAATCATAACTCCATTAATAATAACTCAATGGCTTTGAGTTTTCAGTATTTTTTACATTGAACCTTTAGGAAAAAGTCCTCAAAATTTCAACTTTCTAATCACTTTAATTTTTGAGTGAAAAAATTGTTTGTAAAGTCTTACTTTACAAAACATCATTATTTAAAAAAAATCATAACTCCATTAATAATAACTCAATGGCTTTGAGTTTTCAGTATTTTTTACATTGAACCTTTAGGAAAAAGTCCTCAAAATTTCAACTTTCTACTCACTTTAATTTTTGAGTGAAAAAATCGTTTGTAAAGTCTTACTTTACAAAACATCATTATTTTAAAAATATCATAACTCCATTATTAATAATTCAATGGTTTTGAGTTTTCAGTATTTTTTACATTGAACCTTTAGGAAAAAGTCCTCAAAATTTCAACTTTCCACTCACTTTAGTTTTTGAGTGAAAAAATTTTTTGTAAAGTCTTACTTTACAAAACATCATTATTTAAAAAAAATCATAACTCCATTAATAATAACTCAATTGCTTTAAGTTTTTAGTATTTTTTACATTGAACCTTTAGGAAAAAGTCCTCAAAATTTCAACTTTCTACCCACTTTAATTTTTGAGTGAAAAAATTGTTTGTAAAATCTTACTTTACAAAACATCATTATTTAAAAAAATCATAACTTCATTAATAATAACTCAATGGCTTTGAGTTTTCAGTATTTTTTACATTGAACCTTTAGGAAAAAGTCCTCAAAATTTCAACTTTCTACTCACTTTAATTTTTGAGTGAAAAAATTGTTTGTAAAGTCTTACTTTACAAAACATCATTATTTAAAAAAAATCATAACTCCATTAATAATAACTCAATGGCTTCGAGCTGTCAGTATTTTTTACATTGAACCTTTAGGAAAAAGTCCTCAAAATTTCAACTTTCTACTCACTTTAATTTTTGAGTGAAAAAATTGTTTGTAAAATCTTACTTTACAAAACATCATTATTTGAAAAAAATCATAACTCCATTAATAATAACTCAATGGCTTTGAGTTTTTAGATTTTTTTAC